GCCTTTAATGTAGATGGGATTTGAGAAAGCATAATGGTAACAAGTGTCTAAAATGCAGTTTCCTTGCTGGCTTACAAGTTCATCTCCTGGTCATAGCAAAGTTGTTGAGCACAGTGTAGAGTTTCATTTCTACTTGCATAATGTTGAGCACGTAGATAGTTTCATTCCCATGTTGGGTAATTCTTATAATGTGCACACCTAGGATTTGTTGTATGAATGTTCTGGTTGTTAATGCATTACACTGAAAAGCTTTGTTTTAATGTGAGTAAAAAATGATTTATGTGTTAAAAGCTTGAAATTATGGTACTGGTGCTTTAACTTGTACAGATCGTATAGTGTTTTAATTTTCTCTTATGTTTTGATGATGAGCTTTAAATGTTATCTTGTTGTTCTCCCTAATGTTCTTTCACTGTTCTTTCTCTCCTCTAGGCTTATATTGTTTGTAGACTAGTGAAAGAAATTTTTTCATAGCTGCAGTATTTAACTGGATTTAATATTGATTGTGTAGTCACGACTTAGAATAAGCAGCTGTCTTTATTATTATAGGTGTATTGTTAATCATATTGCTGTACTGCTTGAGACCAAAGTGTTCTGTTGTGTGTTATGCCTTAAATACAATGATTAAAGACAACTAACCACCTTTTTTGATAACGATAGTATGAATCAGAAGCAGTTAATCGACCTCCCACCTCTCATGTCATGTTAAAAGTGTGATAATACATGATATGAAGTTCACCGTAGCTCTCGGTATGCCTTTGGAATTTGGTGAAGGTTGTTCCTAATGCTACTTGTATGTACCAGACATCAAATGAGAAAAATTAAATATGCTTGTTTTTATTATTAACCAATGGACTGAACTATCTGTTACATTACAAAAAAGGGATTACTGCATTTATTAGCCTCATTTATATATTGGTTTCCTACTTACGATAACAGCTAACACAGTAGACAAATAGAGCATTAATGCAGTTGTTGCACTACACAGCGTTTGATGTTGTGAAACGTATTGTTCCGTGCAGGGCCATTGTTGTCATGTGGTGAGGCCTGTGTGGTTCAAGCATTTTATTCACATATTTTTACTTGTGTATAATTATCCTTCTTTTATATTGATGGCTAATGACTTTGACTTTTTTTTTCTTACTCACCAGTGAATCATTGATACATGGCCAAATGTGGATGTTTGGATAGTTAAAATATTCTTGTATGGGTCATTTTGTATTTTGACAGTAGATTTTATGAGAAGTTGTGGTTTGTAGAGAGAAGTTCTTCCAAGTGATATTTGTATCTGAATAAAATTCAAAAGGATTAGTCCAGATTTTAGTAGCCTGGAGAACTTTCCGTACAGATATTATAGTGAATTGGTACTTTTTTGTTGTTGTTGATTATTTTTAACTTGTTTTTGCAATAAGAAAATTGTTCAAGCCTCGTTCTAAATAATAGGTTACTTTTGATCCACAAAGAAAACAGACCATTATTGGTCTTTTGGATATTAAGTCAAATATTCTTTTTCATATATTCTAACACAGTCCTACTCTTCAAATTCTCTCTCTCTCTCCCCTCCCTCTCTCTCTCTCTCCTCCCTCTCTCTCTCTTCTCTCCTCTCTCCCCCCTCTCCCCCCTCCTTCCCTTCATCCCTCTACCCCCACCCCTCTCTCTATCTATGTATCTATCTTTTTAGGCTTCATTTTCCATTATTGAAGCTCCCAGAAATACTTTTGATTAACAGTATCATTAGCTTATCTTCAATTACCGTTGTCGCATCTTACTGGTATTATTCGCCACCACTTATCTCAGAGAAGAGACCCGTTATGGTATCACAGTGCTGCAGGGTCTTGGTATTCTGAGAGAGAAATGTTGTGAGATGGGTGGCGACGATCAGCCTTGAACACTCGTAAAATTCGTAATGAATTTCCATTTATTCTGACCGGCCAAGTGCTATAGCGGAATGCACAGCGAATATTCAAGGTGTAGCAAAGGGTAGTTACATGTTCGTGAGTGCGTGTTTACAAGGGATGAGTAATTAAGATAACTGGGAGATAAGAACAGAATTATGGTAATCTTAAGCGACACAGGAAGGTAGTTTTCTTAATGTCACCTGTAACTTGTTTTTGCCATACCAATCTGCACGTGGGGAAAGTTGTCCAGACAGTGACGTGTGTACATATACGCTCGGCGGCCTGAAGCGAGGTTTGTCGAGGGACCCCTTATATTTTGTGTCGGTTTGAGGGGGAAAAAATGTGTACGACAATACAAAAAACATTCTTTACGAACTTAAACCTAAGGGGGGACACACACACACACACACACACACACACACACACACACACACACACACACACACACACACACACACACACACACACACACACCATATATATGCATATACATACCTACATATGCATATATATATACACATAGATATGTGTGAGTGTGTGTGTGTGTGTATATATATATATATACATATATATATATATATATATATATATATATATATATATATATATATATATATATACCCCCCAATCCCTTGCCCGTTGTTGTCGTGGGGGGGCTTAGGAGGCGGAGACTGGGACCCAATGATGGGGAACTCCCCAACCTTGGGACTCAGCCCTCGACTCAACTAATTATGCATGGTCTTTTTTTTCCCTTCCCACTTTTGTTTCTGTCCCTTCACCAAACCCTTCTGCTATCCACCTCCTAAGGTGTGAGAGCCGTGCTGAAAGGATGAAAGGCTGACTTTGTGCCAGTCCTGAACGGCCTGAGGGAGCCATGGGCACGGTATTCCCCTGATTTAGTTATCTAGCCCTTACCCCTCAAGGGGACCCTGAGGGGTGGACTGCTTTTATCCCCAACATAATCCAGGCTTCCCATGGCCAATAATGAAAATATATCCCCACTGTTAGGGGCAATGAGGCTTGCCCCTTTATCAAATAGCCCCAACGAAGTAAACCCACCCGATTCCCCGACCCCAGGCTCTCCTTTGACCACGGCTCCAAACACTGCAATAACTACCCCTTCACCAATGCCTACTAGTACAGTAGCCAACAATCAACCCTCAAGGAACATTTCCACTCTCCCAGCATGCCCAACTTCAACACCTCTACCCCCACAACCTCCAACATCAACCACCCCATCCTCCCTTATTAATACCTTACAGCCTTATAGCCCACCTCTCCATAACACTACCTCCATCAACACTACTCCATCTTCGTCACGCCCTCGCCCTTCTACCACCCCTATCTCTAAAACAATCTTGAATACTCTCTTCAGTGCAGCCAAATGGGACCGATTTTTCGTGATCCCTCCCACAGCTCCCTACTCTGACAACACCCTTCTCTTCCAACAATGCCTCCAAAAACAAGTAGGTAAAGTCTCTTTCCGTAGCCGACCCGACCGCTCCCGTCTTGTAACAGTAACATCCGAAAACCAAGCCATAGCATTAACAAAACTAACTGACCTATATGGTAACCCCATCCTAGCAGAACCCCATCCAACCCTCAATACTTGCACTGGAACAGTCTCAATCTCACCAACAAATTGCCCAATCTATGACAAAGATTGGTCAGATTGTGGAGATCTACTTGCCTGTCTCACAGACTACGATGCAACATCAGTACAATGCTATTCCATCCCCCCCAGAGGTCATCGAAAGAAACCCACTAACATAGCCAAAATTACCTTCCGTAGACATGACCTTCCCTTTAACGTCTACATAGGAGGAGAATCCCTCCCTGTTCGTCCATACCAACCTCCACGTCAGTGCCAAAATTGTTGGCGTCTAGGACACCCAGCCAAACACTGCCGTTCCACAGCCAGATGCCCATTATGTGCCCAACCTGGCCATACCCGATCTAACTGCTCTGCACAATCACGCACATGTGCCAACTGTGGCGGCCCCCATAACGTATTTTATAGGGGCTGTCCCACCTACAAATTTGAATCTGAGGTAGCAACTCTCAGATTCAAACTCGGACTCACACTGCGTGAAGCCAGACAGGAAGCACGTCGACGTGGATTCTCTATTACTCCTTACTCCAGTAATACTGCTCATTCTAACACTTCTCCTAAACCCACCCCTCCTACATCTAACCCCCCCACTTCTACCCTCCTACCTTCCCCAGTCTAACTCTTTTGCCATCCTAAATCCAGAAACTCCAATCTCTACTACAGATACTCCAATCACCACTACAACCCCAACACCTTCCCCTCTCCCTCCTCGCACTCCCCGTAACAGACAGAACAAACGTTCCACCCCCTCTTCCCCTACCACACAATCACCCCCACCATCCTTTGCCCATACTCTTGAGACACCAGTCCTCTCTTCCCCCCCTCACAAGAAATCCTTTATCCCCCAAAACTCCCCAACCATCTCCACAGAAGAAACTATTGAAAATATTCAAGATTACTTAATGAAAACCGACACTCAACCTACAACTCCTGCTCCTTCCACACTCCAAGTAATTGCTGATATCCATCCTCCTCCTAACGATATCCCCCCTACACCCTACCCTCCTACCCCCTCCCAACGCAGCCCATCCCCCCTGACCCCAACCCTGCCCACATTAACTCTCCCACCATCCCCTCTATCCCTTCCACTCCCTCCTGGATACACACGTGAATCCCTTATGTCACAAGTATCCCCTTCCTCAGACCCTCCATCTCTTAATACCCCTCCTGATAGAACACCAACTCCCACACCTCTCCCAACTCAAACCTCTCAGTCCTTATCCCACCCTCTAGCTGCTTCCACTTCAAATTCTCCAACACGTGCTACAATCTTTATCACTAAATCAACGAAAGTATAACTATCCTTCATTGGAATATTCGCGGTTTCCGCTCCCACAGACCTGACCATCATATCCTTTCCTCTTATAACTCATCTGTTGTATGCCTTCAAGAAACCTTTCTTATGCATACCCTTTATCTAATATAACACCCGACCTTAACCCTTTCACTCACTAATTCCTTTGCCCAGCTTAGACAACTAATCACTAACTCAA